GGAGTTGAAGTCCACTCATCTTAAAGTGGCCAAGTTTGGACAACACTGGGGAACCCTTATGATTTGAATTGTTATAGCAGGTAGCAGTATCTGTCAGTTTTGGCTAATCTTGGAAAAGCGAAGTAATGCCAGATCTGGATGGGAGACTATCAGGAAGTCCCAAGAAGACATGGAAAACCACTTCTTTATTTTTGTGAAGAGAACAACATGGATGTGACCGTGTTGTCCTCAAAAGTTCAGCTCGACTCAAGCGAGGCTTTTCTTGACTTATAATTTAAATTATACTTGGGATGAAAGGACCATGGTTTCTCCATTATTTGTGATGTTCCCTTAGAGCAAGGAGGGCCATAATTTATTCCACATGGACAAGGGAGAATCAGAGGATGGGCTTTCCAATTTCACATGAAAGACCCTTCCCCTCCATCCCTGTAAATGCAAGATGTTACGCAGCGAGATTTCAAAGTGTGACCTTTTTCCAGACAGGGAACTGTGGCCAAAAAAGAATAATTTACCTCAGACGAGTCATGATGGGGTACACGTAACCACTGTTTGCTGAAAAAGCCATAAGTGGTTGGGACCTCAAATCTTGCTAAACCAGATTGTCCACAAAACAAAGATACATTGTGCTTCAAATCCAGAACAAGCCATCATGTTCTGGACTGAAAGCTCTGCCTCGCTGTTGTGGACTGGCTATGATTCGACAGAAACAACCAGCTTTTGGGGTTGTTCCAGGTTTGGACAAAACAAAACAGCATCTGGAGAGGCCCAGTATGATTTTACAGGGTGAGTAAGGTACATGGGAATGAAACGGCCCCATTCTCTGTCATGTACAAACTCAAACATCCCAAACACGTATTTTGCTTCTGGCACGGAGCATCCAAAATCAGTGGTTCCATGCACAGAATCATTCACACACAGAATGTTTTCTGCTTCCCTGGGGGCTTAGCCAAGTGTCCTAGGACAGAAAGCAAAGGGGACAGGAGTAATGCATGAACCCCGCCAATAATTTTTTTTTTAATTACTATTAAACCAGTGTTGTCCAAACCTGGCCACTTTAAGATGAGTGGACTTCAACTCCCAGAATTC